TTGAGAAAACAAAGTAGCTTTTGAGACCTACACTTACATTTACTTTCTTCCTCCCTTTTAATTTTTTTTTTGCGTGTGCTGTGTATTCTGGTTTTTTTTTCTTTCTTTCTAGAATTGTACCCCAAACCCTTCTTCAAGACGCTGGCCAGCCCCATGGTCATACTTGGCGACCGAGTGACTTTCAACTGCTCCAGTGCCCACCAGCACATGAGCTTCATTCTTTACAAAGATGGAAGTGAAATCGCGTCCAATGATGGGTCTTGGGAAAGTCCAGGGGCTAGTGCAGCTCACTTTCTGATCATTTCCGTGGGAATTGGTGATGGAGGAAATTACACCTGCCGCTATTATGACTTTGCTACCTGGTCTGAGCCCAGTGACCCTGTGGAGCTGGTGGTGACAGGTCAGAAGGGGGCAGGGATCCATGGATAAGCAGTGCAGTGCAATAGCGGGCGGAATCACTGATGTCGGGAAAGGGAGTTAGTGCTCATTCGAGAAAGAGGAGCCATCCCAAACAGGCACAGAACAGTGTGTGGTACATGCTAAGCAGTTCACTCAAGGCCGCTGCTCATATTACTACTGCAAGAAGAGACAGAAGAGAGAGGGAGAGTCATTCACAGGGGGAAGAAGAGAGGAAGATATTTGTATGTAGGGAGGGGGGGCGTGGAGGTGGTCGCAATCCCAAGAGCCAAGTTCCTGTTGCCCTATTTCCGGAACCTTTTTGTGCTTTGCCCTTGAGCTTTAGGCTCAATATCCACTTTTTCTTTAGCTAGGCTGTCAGAGATTGGTGAGGAGAATGGCCCTCAAAGAAAGGGAAAAGACTTTGAATGTCAGTTGCATATTATGTAGCCATTTCAAATGGTCTTTTCCAAAGGCTTTGTAACATAACAGGAAATGTGTACAATATAAAGTTAAGTGAATAAAATCAGATTACTTAACTGTGCATGCAGTAGAATTCCAATTATGCAAATAGTTATCACTATGTCAATAAGGACATATATAGACAAAAGCAAATAGAAAAGAAACACATAAAGTGTATAGGAAATGTTTATCTTTGAGTGGTAAAATTATGCTTTCTTCTTTAGGTTTTCTCTGTAGTTTCTCATTGTCTACAATAAAGATGCGTTGTTCTTTGTGGAATATGGGGGTGGGTGGGTGGACAGGTGGAGGGAATTCATGTTGTGGTCTCTTTAATTTCAGATTTCTACCCCAAACCCACTCTCTTGGCTCAGCCAGGACCTGTGGTGCTTCCTGGGAAGAATGTGACCCTGCGTTGCCAAGGGGCCTTCCAGGGTATGAGGTTCGCCCTCCTGCAGGAGGGAACCCAGGATCCCTTACAGTTCCAGAGTGCCTCCGGTTACTTAGTTGACTTCCTCCTCCACGCGGTTGGAGCAGAGAACTCTGGGAATTACAGCTGTGTCTATTATGAGACAACCATGTCAAACAGAGCATCGCATCTCAGCACCCCCATTATGATTTGGGTAACTGGTAAGGACAGAAAAGACCTGGGACTAGGCTAGAAACAATGGGCCTCAGGGTTAAGGAGAATGATCCCTCCTGGAAAGCTAGGTTAGGTCAAGGGCAACGGCTATGTTCAGGAAAATAAATAAAAATGCTTAATTCAATAAGTGATAATTTCCTATACTCATCATGTTACATGTTTATCCTCTCCCTAGACACATTCCCCAAGCCCTGGCTCTATGCTGAACCCAGTTCTGTGATTCCCATGGGGAAAAATGTGACTCTCTGGTGCCAAGGGCCAGTCCTTGGAGTTGGGTACATTCTCCAGAAGGAAGGAGACGTGACTTCAATGCCGCTCTGGGGATCCTCCAGGGATGATGGAGCATTTCTGATCACTAACACATCTGGTGCTAGCACCGGGCGTTACAGCTGCTGCTACCACCCTGACTGGACGAGCCCGATCAAGCTACAGCCTAGCAACACCCTGGAACTCATAGTCACAGGTAAGGGGAGACTTCTCTGCATGGTGGCTTAGAAGTGTTTGAATCATGGGAGAGCCTTTGCAAAGAGCTCCAAGGCCAAATCAAGGGTCTTTATGATTTGTGGAGCAGAGACTTCAGAGATACTAAACTAAAAGGGACCTTGACTCTGACTAGGAGTTTATTTCCTCCAGGCTTGCTCCCGAAGCCCACTCTGGTAGCCCAGCCAGGTCCCTTGGTGACTCCTGGTGAAAACATGACGCTTCAATGCCAGGGGGAACTTCCCGACTCAACATTTGTACTGGTGAAGGAAGGGGCTCAACAACCCTTAGAGAAACGGAGGTCAAGTGGTTCCAGGGCTGATTTCTGGATGCCAGCGGTGAGAAATGAAGATTCTGGAATCTATAGCTGTGTCTATTATTTGAATTCTGCTCCCTTTGCAGCTTCCAATCACAGTGACCCCATGGAGATCTGGGTGACTGGTAAGGTCTTAGGGAAGTCAGGGAGATTTTCCTAGTTTTTAATAATTAGCCATCAAGGGGGAATGGGCTCGGTTAAAGGTTTCTTCTTACTCTCTGTCCTGGACGATTACAGATAAGCCTCCCAAACCTTTGCTGTCAGCATGGCCCAGTGCTGTGTTCAAGCTAGGAAAGGACATCACTCTTCAGTGCCGAGGACCCCTTCCAGGTGTGGAATTTGTCTTGGAACATGATGGAGAAGATGCACCCCAGCAATTCTCAGAGGACGGAGACTTTGTCATCAATAACGTGGAAGGGAAAGGCATTGGGAACTACAGCTGCAGCTACCGCCTCCAGGCCAACCCTGACATATGGTCCGAGCCTAGTGATACCCTGGAGCTGGTAGGGGCAGCAGGTAAGGGGACAATCCCTCCACGGGCCTGGCATCACAGCCCTGGGCCCTCAGAAACAGTCCTATAGGAACAACCCAAATAGCCAGAGGAGCGGGGCTGTGGAGTCAGAAACTCCAGTTTGGTTGTCTTTCTCCCAAGGGGGACGAGGAGTTAGGACTTCATATTCATTTAGAGAGAGTGAGCAGGATGCTTCCCAGGGCTGTTGCCCATAAGAAAATGAGGGCTGCTTCTGCCTCGGCATAACTACCCCTTCTACCTTCTCAATGCATGGCTCCCAAAATGAGTCCTGATCAAGAGCAAAATAAAACCAAGGGAAACATATACCCTTGAACATCAGTGACCTTGGTATCTGTTCTTTTATCACCACAGGGCCTGTTGCTCAGGAGTGCACTGTGGGTAACATTGTGCGAAGCACCCTGATTGTGGTGGTTGTCTTAGCCTTGGGAGTGGTGTTAGCCATTGAATGGAAGAAGTGGCCCCGACTCCGAACCAGGTAAAGGCCATATTTCAGCCTCCTTCTGTGAACTCAGTTTCTGAAAAAAAACCAAAAAACAAAAAAACCAAATGATCCAAATGCTCCTATAACAAGTAAGTTCCACAGTGCAATTGTTTCAGAGGGATGATTCTGGGGTTTGCTTAGTAATGACTTTTTCTCTACACAGGGGCTCAGATACAGACGGAAGGGACCAGTCCATAGCCCTTGAAGAGTGTATCCAAGAAATAGAACTGGGCACAACCACTAACTCTCCCTCCTCAATCTCTCAGGAAACATCAGAGGAACTGCCAGCCCTAATATAATATTCTTTTCATTTGCAAAAACCCACAGAAACCTACTGGTTTCCTTGGGAGACAGCCCATTTCACCACTCCTTGGCCTCTGATCCCCTGAGGTGGGTCAAAGTGATTCTGGGAGTTGAACGCTTTCCTAGAGTGAGATGTTTCTTGAAGAGAGGTTCCCTATTCTGTAACTCTTCACTGTACTGATTTACTGGTGCATGCCATTCTCTTAAAGATGTATTCTCCTGAATAAATTGCGTATTCACTAGTTCACTTCAGTGATCTTCCATTAGTCTGTCCTCTACTTGAAACTTAGCCAGAACGGTGCGTTGGAGCGGATCTCCATGATGAACAAGAAAACACAGGGTTAGTGGGACCAAAAAGGTGCTCAAGGATGGGAGCTGGGAGAGTGGGGTGGCGGGGGTTGGGGGGGTGTGGGGGTGGAGGGGGGGTGGTCCAAATTAGTACTTCCCAATTCAGTTTGAAACATTTTCACTGAACAAAGTTCTTGCATTTCTATATCATTATTGAATGAATAAATAAAGAAATGAATGAATGAACAATAATATTCTGGCCAAGCTGAGCCTTCAGAGGAGAAAAATTGAAATGATATGTTTTTTCTCATGTTACTTCTAAATCTACAGTATATTTGATTTCAAATATCAGGAGTATCCCGCTATAAAACTTTGACATTGGCAACATTTTCCTTTATGGCCTTGACCTAGTAATCACCCAGAAAAATATAATTCACCCACTGCATTTGGATCACTTCTGACTAATAGTAACCCTTTCTCACAGACTAATATACCCCATAGGGTTTCCAAGGCTGTAAATCTCTCCTGAAGCCCACTGCCACTTCTTTCTCTTGAAGAGCCCTGGTGAATTTGAAAGACATCACCACACTTATCAATTATAAGGTATAAGTTCATTTATAATTCAAAACTGAATACTTTGCCTTTCCTTAAAGAAAGCCCCTTTTGCCCACACAAGTGGCTCTCCCGTGATGATATCTCAGGAAGAGAGTTAGCAAATGAGGTGAGCTGCTAGAAATAGGGACCTTCAGTGTAACCGTCCTAGACCCTGAACTTTCACCCTTGGTCATCATACCTGTTGCTCCATACATGGAAATTCAGTACACATTAGGGAAGCTGGATTGAGGAGGGAAGTTTACCTAATTCTTTAAAACCTGCCCAAGGTCGCAGAAGAATTGAACTATGGATCCTATAGGAGGTTGAATCCCCTTTAAAGCTGACCCCAAAGTTCCTTGCCTTCTACACTATTCAATTTTAAGGTAAACTTGTTCAAAATAGTAAAGTACAAGGCTCTCACACAATATGTTATTAACCCCTGATTATAATAACTTTAGAGAGCAACTCCTATATTTTGGCATTAGAAAGCTTATTTACCCAGCAAATATTTGTTTTGAAAGCATCCACTTGCCTTAATCTTGACAGAATGGAACACTCTGAGTACTAGCGGAATTAAGTTCTTTGGAATGTAGAAATGCAAAGACCCATTCTGGTTTCCAGTTGATAAGATTCTATCAGTTGCTTATACTAATTTTTCATGGTGGTTCTGAAAAATGCACTTCAAAAGAGCTTCTTTAGCCAAACCTAGTAGCTGTTTTCTATTGAAAACCATTCTCTACCCTCAAACTCTGCATTGCTAACCCTCAGTCAAGTTGTGCACTCTGAACACTTGGCAGAAACCAGTCTTTGGTCCTTGGTCTCAGGATTTTGCTTTCCAATAATTGGATGTTCCAAAGTATATATTGTCAAGGTTAGTATCAGGGTTGGAGACGTTAACTGGATTGTTTTATCTGCTCACCAAGGAAAAGAGAAGTAGGAGGGTAAGAGCAGAGGGCCAAGGACTGAAATTGAGAGAAGCCTCTGAATTAGAAAAGCAAAAAGAATGAGGCAAACACAACAGCAAAAGGCTCTTGTGAAATCTAGACATTGAACCTGGGGTCCCTAGTGTCAAAAAGCTTTAAGCAGAGATATTCATGCAATCAAAGAAAATTCTTATCTTTCAGTGAGAAACAAATAGCGAGAAATATTGTGACACTGGACTGTTAAGTGGGCTTTCTAAAATCACTCACATATACCTTTCTTTCACTTGGAAAACCAAGTTCTACATGCTTTAGAGTGGGGGGGGGCAGTTGTCAATTAATGGTGATAAAGAGTGGCTTTGGAATTTAACTTTCTTACTCGCTGTCAGAGTTAGCTCAATGAATTAAATATCTATACTGAAGTTGTCACAAACTATTTCAATGCATTAAATATCTATTTATAAAGCAAATGAAGCCTGTTGCTGACAATACTCCACATGGTATGTTTTTCAACCTGGTTGCCATGGGAATCAGTCCTTTTACCTCTGGCTGGCCTCTAATCATCAGCCCAGCATAAGGTAAATTCTGGGAAATGGATTTTCAATTAGGATGGAATGGACCGTCGAAAGGGGAAATTGTCTCTGGGACTCCAGGAAGAAAAGTCAAGATCCTCTTCCCACCTCTTATCCCCGATCCTTAGGTCCTCAGACCTTTGGCCCAAATATCTCAAAGCTACAAAGATTGTTGAGGCCCCCTGTGGTCAATCTCCCTAACAAGGGCAGGTTCTAAGAGAACTGGCAACTAGGCCCTTCTTGTTTGCCTCCAGAAATGGGAGCTCACCACTTCACAAGACAACCTGTGAAGCTATAATTGTTGTATTGAGCTTATATCTGTCTGTGTGTAATTCCTTCATATACCCTAGCTCTAGTTCTGACTTAGATGAATTCTACCTCTTAACATATAATTGTCCAAAAAATTTGAAAAATTTGAGCTATCCACCCTGAGTCAATTGATCTCATGCTGTGGTACTTTCAGGGTTTGGACAAGGTTTGTTTGCAAGGCTATCTCAAAGGTAACCCTTCATAATACGGGCATTGGAGAGGGCAGAGTTCCTGACTAGCCTGTTTCTGAAAGGCTCAAACAGGGCAGCTGCAGCTCTTCTATAGACTTTGTATGTCTACTTCTTCTACTAGTGCTTATTAGCTCCCTTCTATGTGACAGATAGTGTTCTGGCACCAGGAACACAGTGATGAGTGAGACAGCAACAATTCCCTGCCTTTCCAATGTGAGAAACAGACAATATAATCAATAGATAAATTATATAGAATATTAGATGGTGATACATTATTTTAAAATAAAGCACAGAGAAAAAAAAGGTATGGCGGTGTATGCTAGGGGAGGTGTGTGCAATTTTAAAGGGATAATTGGAAGACCTCACTGAGAAAGTGATTGGAAGGACATGAAGGAACAAACTGTGCAGATAGCTCAAGAAAATGGATTCGGGGCAGAGACCCCGAGACACCAGAATGACCAGTTGGTTCAACCAGAGTGAGCACGAGGTAGAGGAGGAGATGAGATCAGACAGGTAAGGGGAACGCTTACCATCAAAGCAAGGTCTTATGCTTATACTCTGAATAAGATAGGAAGTGGCATGATTGGATTGGATTTCCATTTTAATCAGTAATCTGGAATTCTCTGTGAATAGACTAAGGGCAAGGGGAAAACAGAGAGATCCGCTAGGAGACTATTCCAATAATTCAGGCAAGAGAGGGCAGCTTAAATCATGTTAGTAACATAAAAAGTGATAAATAGTTCGGTTCCTGACATAATTCGAAGAAAGAGCCAACAGGATCTTCTGACAAATTAGATGTGGGGTTTGTTCTATAAACATTTTCATCAAAAGGGAAGAAATGTTTCCAATACTGTCTTCGTGTTTCCTCCCTGGGTTCTTTTTATCTTCATGAACAATGTTCTCAACCCTTCTTCTTCTAGGTCACTGTCTCCAGACAGTTTGCCGATGACAGCTTGTCCAGCCAGAAAGCAAGAGAGAGTCCTGTGAGTCTGTAACAATCTGACCAGGACACAATACAGTGATATGAAGATTTTCTAGGATCTCAACTCACCATTTCTACTAATGCCATCTAAAATTACATTAGTTCTTGGGCAGCCAGATCACACTGCTGGCTCATAGGAAACTTGTGGTCAACTAAAACCCACAGCTCCTTTTCACACACACTCTTGCCAATTCAATCCTTAATTGTCTTTTACTTGTGCATGTGATGTGTTTTTGTTCTTGTCCTTTTGGAATTGAGTGTTTAACTCAATTGTAAGACTTAACATTTGGTCCTGATAGATTTCATCTAATATAAGTCATATGTTACCATTAGCCCCTTTCTCTATGTGACACATTTTGAAAAGCCCCTTATTTATTTATAAGAACCACCCAGTGAGATCCTGTATCATTGTACACATGAGAAAACAGAAGCCCAGAGAAGTTAAGTAGCATGATCAAGGGCACCCAGCTCATAACCAAAGACAGAGCTGGAATTGGAATTTAATTGTGCCTGATTCCAAAGCCAGACTTTCCCATACTAAACTAACATAGTAAGTACACAATAAATATTTGGTAAATTGACCACCTTCCCACTTTTTTATTTTATTGACTAAATAGTCCACTTAGTATTTTTGTCAGACCCTGTTTTAGTGCTTTACATGTATTAAGCAACCTCACCCTTACAAGACATTTATGATATTGAGATTAAATAAACCTGTCTTGGCCATACAACTAGCAAGATGTAGAGATGGGGTTCCGACCTAGGAAGTCTAGCTTAAAGTTTTGTTGTTTTTTTTGTTTTTAGAATCAGTACTCTATGCTGTTTCAGGCTACTCTGAGAACCTCATCTTGCACTTTCAAGGGAAGGAGGCATCTAGACGGAATTCGCTGCCCACTACTTAGTGCCAAATCTGCAGCCATTGTGTTGAAATCCAGCCCAGCTCCCTTTCTTTCCAGCTTCCCCTTCCTTACCAATGGAAGCTGACCTCAAAACTTTTAAGAAGACTTGTACATATTCCCAAGCTTTGTCCCTTTCTCTCCCTTCCCCTGCAGGATTCCCTGCCACTCTTCTCTGCTGTAGACCAAATTCTTTCAACTGCTCTCATTGAGAGAAATGAAGTGGTTTTCCATCTGCGGTGGGAGCCAATGTAATGAAATTGTCTCCATTCTGGGGTTATCGAGAAAAGGGAAAGCCCATGATTGTGAAAGCAAGTAAACAGAGGTCTGAGGAAGAAAGAGGCTCCCCTAGCCTTATCCCTGCTCTCCAGAATGACCCCTTTGCTAGAACTCTCATATCATCCTGGGGTACATTAACTCTATAGGATCCTGGATAGAGTCATATGTTATATGGGGTGTGGTAAAAAGTGAGTGGAGCGAGTAGCTGATGATTTC